TCTGGGAGTTGAAGTCCACTCATCTTAAAGTGGCCAAGTTTGGACAACACTGTCCTAAAGGGTGCGTAATATAACTTCTAAAAACAGCACCTAATTTAATATTGAACTCTTTTTGGGAAAATGTGAACTATGCACCAAACTGTGCGCATTTAGTGGTAATTCAATATTCAGTTCCTAAATCTTCATTTGACTATTAAATGACCAAGATATTACTTAAATTGGTTATCAATTGAAATATACTATTATATTCTGAAAATAAAAATTTTGCTTATATTACATATCTAAAAAGGAGTCCCTTTACTTAAACCATGGAAATTATTCACAGGTGATATCTGTATAAATTATTTTACTTGTTCACGTGTATATGGAGTTTTCTATATCATCAAAGAATCTGGTATGCAAGCGTTACCATGGCTGATTTATAATATTTATGGAGCATTTTCAAAAAATCATTTTACACTGTCAAATTTCCAAAGAAATAGAGTGTGTGTTGGAACCTACATCCATTTTTAAGTTCTACATGAGCATTTTGTTTTTGAATCAAGATCTTATTGCTGGTCTTATTAATATAATGGGTTTTTTTGTGTGTCTTTGAAAAAAAGATGCATAGATGAATAACTTGAAAATATTTAAGACTCAAATTGACATTCAATTCAATAATCTTAGTCTCAGCAAATTAAACATTTAATTTTGGTGTATTGACATATTTGTAGAACCATAAAGCAATGATTGTTTCATAATTTTAGTTATGGAATAAGTAAGTGGATTCCAATTTTATTTATAGAACACATTAGTATCCTGTCTTTTCTCCTGGAGTTAGTTTGCCAATCTTTGTGTGAATAACTGGGAGAAATTACCTTGCCTTTTTTTTTTTTTTTGCTTGATTTCTGTTGGTGGAAACAGTTATTAAAGCTGGAAATGAGACATTTCCTCATAAAGATCATAAATGAGCTATCTTATACCCTTGCATATGGCAACTGATATGCACTTGAGAATGTCAACACCAAGTAGAGCAACTTGTCCTTCAACTGTTGTCATAAATGTTCAGTAATGTAATGGTGGGACAGAGCAATATAATAAATTTAAATTCATTAAATTTACAGCCATTAAAGCCAAAAAAAAAAATCACATGGATCAGATAAAATGAATAACAGAAGTTTTAGAAGGGGGTATAAGAGGGAAAGAGAAAGAAAATAAAAACATAGTGATAATCATGACGACAATGACAATAATAATTAGTAGAAGGAATAGGAGTTGTGAGAGCCAGTTTGATGTAGTGGTTAAGGCATCAGGCTAGAAACCAGGAGACTGTGAGTTCTAGCCCTGCCTGAGTCACAAAGCCAGCTGGGTGACTTTGGGCCAGTCACTCTCTCTCAGCCCTAGGAAGCAGGCAATGACAAACCACTTCCAAAATCTTACCAAGAAAACTTCAAGGACTTGACCAAGCAATCGCCAGGAGTCAAAACTGACTTGAAGGCACCAAAATCTCAATCTCAATCTCTCTCTCTCTCTTTCCAGGGGCATTTGTGGGTGGGATGGATAAGTAGGGAAAAAATGGTAGGCATGACTGGAGCAATAGAAGTCCCACCACTTTTTATGCGTATGGGTGTGGGACTTGTATTGTGTGTGCATGCTAAAAAGGGTGTGATCATTTGGTGATGCTGTTGCCTACCTCTGCATTCACCCTGTATATTTGTAAATTGTTTCAATTCTCACCATAGCTTTTAAACAACAGTACCTATATAGCAACAAGGAAGCATGCAAAAGGATAGGAATGTGTTTCTGAGAAATGTTGTATATTGATTTACCTTCTCTGACTACATTTACCTCTCTCCTGACTACATTGTCCTCTATTCCAGGATAGTCACAGTGTCTTCAGAGCTAACTGCAACAAGATTATAATGTTGTTTACTGATGGAGGTGAAGAAAAAGCTCAGGAGATATTTGAAAAATACAACAAGGACAAGAAAGTAAGATCCTCTTGTAAAAACATTTTGATACTTGATTTGTTTTAAAATTCTTTGCAAATTGAAAAAAAAATCAACCAGGTGTATAGGTAGACGCAAACGTGTAACAGGCATGAACTCAGGTCAGTACATAAAAAAGGAATAATGACAGCAGAGAAGTTTTAAATGAATGGCTTGACTCTCTTTTAAAATAAGTATTTTATTCATTTGCACATTCATGTAATATAGAATATGATAATTTAAGCAATCATAAAAAGAAATATGATACTTTAAGCATGGTAACTGAAAAAATGTCACAGCTGGGGCAGTACCTGGTTGACCATCTGGGCTCAGAAGCTAAGCAGGATCAGGCCTGGTTGGTATTTGGATGGGAGACTTGCTGGAAATTCCAGAGCTGTAGGCTACACTGGGAAGTTGAAAAACATTCTAGAAGAAGGCTGGGGTCAACTTTCTATTGTTGCCAAGAAAACTGGATGGATAGTCACCAGGATTTACCTTTAAAGGATTATAATATCAGCCGAATCCTACCACTATGCATTCTGTGTCCAAACTATCTCAGGCCCACTCTGGCAACACTGTATCTCCCCTCAGCATCATCTTCAGTACCCCACATTTCCAAGTGTTGTTAATATGGCAGGAAGACCTCTAGCATAATGGAGCTGTTCTCTTGCGACAGAAGCAGGGAGCTACCCACACCTTCATTCCAAGCCTTGTTGGACAACAGCTGGGAAGAAGGACATGATGCGCAGAAAAAACCAAAATTGGTTCTCCACGGAGGGGGAGGTTCTTAATTTTGCACCTTGTTTAGCTACTATGCCTATAGGAATGTTCCTTCTAGTGTATTTTAACTCAGCAGAACTGCTACACACCACAGAATTGGATACTTACTAAATATTTATTTCTGCTCCATACCTATTACATTATTAAGTCGTTTTGCTTTTCCTTTCTCTCTCTTTCTCTCTCGGCACTTACACTCACACCCACGCAAGGTTGCCTTATTCCTACCTTCATTGTCCCCAGATAGTGACTTGAGAAGCCTAGTTCAGCTCCTCTGCTTCCTGCCCTGCATCAGAGGCTTTCTCCAATGCTTCTTGGGTCTATCGATATGGACACGAACATGTCTTTTTCCCCCATATATCATTTTATGCACCTCACAGTTTTGCTGAAAGAACTCCAGTTCTTTTAGTTGGCGTGTTTGCCTTTGTAAACTCCCAACTCTCTCAGTTAGAGACTGGTAAGGTAGGTACCACCTTTTCTCCCTGTTAGATGCTCACACTAGCAGGGTCATTTACAGTACATTTTTATGGGCAAGACATATTAAAAAAGAATCAGACTTTTGTGCAATTATGGACACCATCTTAGCTTTTTTGACCCCTGGCATGGATGCTTTTGAGTAAAACACTTTTTTTGTTCGATCTCAGAGTCTTGTATTAACTTTTTGGAATAATTCCCAACTTCTGCCAGAATTTTCACTGACTTCATTACTTTTTTAAGCTTAAACAGTCTTCACAATTTGTTCCCTAATTTGCAATCATGGGTCCTGCTGCTATGCCAGTTATATCACATGGAGAGTTGTCAAGAGATTCTTCGTAATACCTCCACTCCTACTTGGATTTTTTTTTATTTTTCCAGATACTTGGAACATGTAGAAACACATTCAGATTTACAACTTCTATTCATATTGTGAACGAAAAGCTTTAAACCCTTCATTCACTCTCTCACACATCCATATCTATACATAGTCAAAGGCTGTCATGCTAGGGCTGAGTTCTAGAAACTTATTGGGCACAACTCCTTGTTGTTTGTGATGGCTCCAATTGACATCTACTTTTATAACTTCCAGCAGGTCTTTGCCAGTCCTAGCTTAATACTGTCCCCACTTTTATTAGAGATCTTGTTCATGCTGGTGTTTTTTATATGGTGCAAAAGCTAAAATCTACTAGAACCACTCCTTCTGCCTCTATAGCTGGCTTTGAGTCAGTCTCATATATTCCATCTTGAATACCTGTCTATTCAAACTTTCGCCCAAAATGCATTGCACTAAAGACGACCTAATCGGTCTGTCTTATCTGTCTATCTATTTTGACCCTCTGGGATTGCAGAACATTGGGTGGTGTCTCCGGGAGCTTCCTATGTTTGGGAGAACTCGAAAAAATGCTGGAGGACAATGCTTTACAGATAAATCTTATATAAAATTTGGCTTCTAACAAGAAATCCTGATGGATGAAGCAAATCATTCCAAATTATGCGGGTCGTAATATGTATCATCCTGAGCCTCCTGCAAACTCTTTAGTTCCTCTGATACATGATGCTCACCACCCAGAGTCACATGTTGAGACGGGCTATAGAAATCAAATCAAATCAATAAATAAATATTCTCGTTTTCCATAATTTTGTAGTTGCATAGTTAACTACATAGTTAACTTACTGAATGACTTCTGGATAATTCTGTATCTTTGGATAAGTCAACAGTAGTGTCACCAAAATAATGAAGGCAGTTTGAAAATGAAAAGCCTCTTGAGGATCATGCTTGACTTCTGAGTAGAAGGCAAATCAACTAAATTAACAACAATAGGGATAGGGCATCTGTTTTACATGCACAAGATCCCTTAAAACACTTTCAGTTCTAGGAAACTGAAACTAAGAAAGGCCTTTGTCTATGATTCTAGACAGCTCTGACTTCTGGTTAGGATGAATAGTCAATGTTTACACTCTAATTTAGTTGCAGTTTCTGATCTTGGGTTGTGACTGCACCTTCCATCCTGTATTGTGACCTGAAATGTCTGTGAAATCTTATGGATCTATCATGGTATATATTCTGCCTACACCTTTACAGTACAGCAAGGCATTATAGAACATAATTTTGCATTAGAAATCAGATCAGATCTTTATTTCAGCCATAGCATGGCATGGGACTGGATTACTTGAGGGACCACCTCTCCCCAATTTCATCTGTCCATCCTACCAAATCTGGCAGAGAGGGCATGTTGTGGGTTCCAATGCCTAGGGAGATACATATGGTGGGCTGTAGGTGATAGGCCTTTTCTATGTGGTGCCCGTGCTGTGGAATCTTATTCCTCTGAGGTCAGGATGGTCTCGTTGCTGTTGAGTTTCCGGAGGTCCCTCAAGACTTGGTTGTGGCAGCAGGCCTGGGGACCACAGGGGATGAGTGATCTAGTGAGGTGGCTCCGTTATTTTTAACATCCCTTCACCTATTATTTTCTGTTTTAATTTGGTTTTTTAAATTTTTTTACACGATTTGAGGTCTATATCGACTGTTTTTTAACCTGTTGTACGCCACCCAGAGTTGCTTGGAAAAGAAAT